GGCCCATAATTGCCAGTTTCGTCCGCCGCCAAGTTCGGTTTCTTTCTTATGGGTCTAATGAGTGTCTCCTTGAGAGCAGGAGGAACCCTGCCCTCAAGGAAAGACCCATTAATTATCGCTGTGGCCCATTCAGTTGTTATAGGTGTGGCTACTTCGATTAGCCAGGCCGGGCAAGGGTCAAGGGAGGAGGTGATGGCCCGACAGCGATCAAGCACCTTGTCCCCAGTATCCGGCGTTACAGGCTGAAAGTGATCAAGAGTCACCGGGCAAGACGGAGCGCTGGACATCTCTGCTCAACTCACTGTGTTTTAAAAAGGAGAGAGTTCTATTTGGAGTGGATTTGTTGAATTTGTAGTAGTGAAAGAAAAGGGGAAAGCCTCTAAACAACAATCAACACAATTTTGGAAAGGGAAGTTTGTATTAAAAGTATTGTTCTAAAGGGTCCCATGGGTATGGGGTGCACAGTAGTTTAGATTGTATAGCAAGTATTTTGTATTTTTGTTCTGAAAAAAATAGAAAACAAAAACAAAAACAAAAAACAGGCAATATTTTATTGTATTTTATTTCATACTTTATATTACTAAAGAAAAAATTAAGTTAAATCAGACTTTTTAATTTGCCTCTTACATGTGTTAATTTTTGTGTTACATTTATTTAATTAGGAGGTATTGATGATTACATTAAAATCATTATAGAATAAATAATAGAATAACACTTAATTAAACTCATTATATTCATTGATTAAAAACAGCTGTGGGATCCACAGTTGCTTGGTAGGCTTGCCGAAGAGGTGCCATTATGCTTAAGGCACAGTTAGAACAACAGAAGCAGCTGGAGGAGGCGTAATTCCTGACACCAGAAATACGAGGAATTAGTTGCTAAAGAATTGCTGTGGCTTTTAAGAAATAGAAACTCTGTATAAACACATGGAAGGAAGCCTTCAATATTAAAAGTTTATTTCACAAACATTAAGAAATTATGATGGTCCCCAGGTTTATGGAGTCTCTTTCTAACCGTTTAGCCACCAGTCTACCCAGAATTGGCAGTGCTTCAAGGGAGCCCGCAAATCCACAGAGCAAGACACTCAGAAACACTATGCCAGCCACATCCACAAAAACACCAAAACACCTGGTGGCTGGGCAATGCCACAGACCTTTTGAGCCAAAAACCTAAATAGTTGGGGAATTTATTTTATTTTATTTAAAGATAGTAATAGGGGGGGGGGGGGTTCCAGGAGTTTCAAAAAGATTTGAAAAAGCACATGGAGGGAAAGGAACCCCCCCAATTTTTTTTAAAAAAATGAGACAAAGCTAAGGTAATTAAGAGAACACACCAAAAAATAACTAAGCTAAAGTAATCTAATGCCATCAAGTTGATTTTGACTTACTGTGACCCTTTTCAGGGATTTCCAGGTAAAGAATACCCAGAAGTGGTTTAACATTCTCTTCTTTTGAGGCATCCTGGATCGGTGCAGCTTGCCCAAGTCCACACAGGCTGCTTCTTTTCCCAAGAGGCACAGTGATAACTCAGTGGTTTAGATACCTGGCTGTGGAGCTAGAGGTTGGGAGTTAAATGTCCCACTGCGCTTCCTGCAAGTAGAGCCAGCCTGGGTGGCCTTGGGAAACCTGCATGCTCCCAGGGTTTCCTCCAAGAAGGGAAGTACAGTGGTGCCCCACAAGATGAGTGTAATTTGTTCCGCAAGAATCGCTGTCTTGCGAAAAAATCGTCTTGTGAGGATCCCTATGGGAACCTCGCAAGACGAATGAAATTTATTTGTCTTGCGAGGCATCGGTCTCGGGAAAAAAAAACTTGCAAAGCATGGCCATAAAAGAAACCGTCTTGCAAAGCACCATAGCGATCTCAAAAAACAATCATCTTGCGTGTTTTTCATCCCATGAGGCAATTGTCTTGCAAGGCACCACTGTATAATAATGGAGAGTGACTTATGCCATGAAAGAGGGTCACCATTATTCGGAACACATCATCATTATCATTCAGAAATAACAGACAGCCAATCAAAATTATAAAAACATTGATTGGTATTATATAACAAATACAGGTTTAAATCAGAAACCCAAGTATCTATCAAATATCAGAGTATGTATGCTGTTCCTAATATTGCCAATTTTTGTAGCTCTGATGGTGCCATTTCTGAGATCTGCAACTGCTTGTTCCCAAAGCCCCCAATGACTACAGGAACCATTGAAGTTTGTTTCATCAACAAGCAAGATGTTTCAATTGCCAGGTCTCTGTATTTTGTCAGTTTTTCCAGTTCTTTATTTTCAACTCTGGCATCCTCTGGAATTGCCATGTCAATGACATTTCTTTGTTCTATTATTACTATGTCTGGTGTGTTATGTTCAAAGTGTCTGTTGGTTTGGATTTGGAAATCCCAGAAGATTTTGACTTTGTCATTTTGTACCTGCTGTTCCTATGGGTTTTTGGAGGCTGACAAGTTATTTATTTATTTATTTTTTTTGCACAATGACTAGTGCACTAATTTTGCTACTCTCTCGTCTGATTTTTTTAAACTGTTTGTACAATCTTTGGACATTCACATATGAGGTATAGCACAGTTTCATCTTTTTCTTAGCAAAGTTGACATTTGCTGTAAGCACTAATTCCTTGAATTTTAGCTTTCATGGCATTGGTTTGGAGTTCTTATTGTTGCTGTTAAGTTAATATACTGAATAGTCACATATGAGCATAAAGTCAGCATATTTCTGAAGCATACATAGACTGAATCCTTCCACGCATGGCATAGCAGGACAGCAACTGAGCAGAGCATCTCCTGAGAGGTTAGCTCAGAAAGTTCAGCAACTTTGGAACCCTTTTTATACATTAAATCTCCTATTCTAGAGCCTTACAAATGGTTTCCCAGTCAGGCTTTGAGTTCACTCTAATGTTTACAAACACAAGATCACTTTCTGCTCCTCTCCCTTCACAGCTAAAATCATCTTCAGATTAGTGCAGTATCATCTTTAGATTTTTTTTGTGCTCTTATCCTTTAATCTGATACAAATGAGCCTATGTGCTTGCTTTTAGTGTCTTCCCATTTTAAGTGTTTTAAACAGTTGTTTAAAACAGCTTAATTATTGAATCCTTGTCCATATGCTGTTCTTCTGGAATCTTAATAGAGTTTTATCTTAATTTATGTTTTATATTAAGTAAATTGTAAACTAAAAATTCTTAACTTAAAACATGTATGAGCAGATGTTCACATGTTTATACAATTTAGATGTTAAGGGAAGCTGTCTAGGTGCTGCAGCTAAGGATGTACATGGCATTGTATTTCATTATGGGAAAGAGTTTATTCAGTGTTGTAATTCTAATACTGGTCTTATGTTTTTCATTTTGAAAGAATGATATGACAACAGTACGATTACAGTGGGAAGAAATTCTCATGCCACTGCTGAAAAAATATAAGCTAAATATAACGTGGGGTGATCAGGATCTTCTGAACATTATGTTTTTTCATAATCCAGGTAAAAGTTTTCTGCATGGCAATATTTTAAATAAAATGCACTTTCACTTACCAATATAACATTAGTTTTGTGTATGCTTTTAAGAGAGTAATTGCTGATCAGTTTGATTGAATCTTCAAACTAATTTCCCATTCTGCCTCAATTTGCATTTTATGACTTACATAGGCTGCCTAACATTGTAATATGGCTACCTATATCTCCACTTTTTGCTATGGTAACATATTAGATTAATATATCCATACATATTAGGGATGGGGAGAATCCAACATTTAGGCTAGATGCAGCCTGCTGGAGTTCCTCATCTTCATTATGTTATCTCCAGTCAATGGTATGTGAGAGAAGGTTATTTAAAGCCTAGATACCTGTTGCATTCATCTGAGTTCTGATTTCCAGCTGCTGGACTTGGACAGAGGTGTTGTATACATAGAATTGGGCTATGCTTAGTTTGGTGCAAAAATCTCAAAATTGGAATAACGTCTGGCCCTGTTTCTGTGCCCTGTAACCCTATCTACTGCTAAAATATGATCTCCATATACAATTGACAAATTGGAATAAAGCCCATGGATCAAAAAATTTCCCACACTCATATGTAAAGCAGTGTTTTCCAACCTGGGGTTCATGACCCCCAAGGGGGTTGCAAAGTGTTTTATTGGGGTGCGTTGTCCGCCTTGTTTAATACCATATTTTACCGTGTATATTACCCCCTAATGTATATAAGAACCCTCTAATTTTGACCCTTGATGGAGGCGGAGGAGCAGTTAATGAGCAACTGCTCCTCCACCTCCATCTCCTGCTGCTGCTGTCTCCGCTGCTCACCCGATTGCCTCCTCCAGTGTGACTGCCAACTTCTGGGAATTACCTCCAGTTCACGTCGCTGCCTTGTCCCCTGCCCTAAGGAGATTGTGGGAGAAGGTGATCTGGAAGCGGCAGCAGGAAGAGGCGCCTGAGCGCGCATCTAATTCTTGTTTGCCTCCACCTCTGCTGCCTCCTGCCTCCACCACTGGAAGGGACAAGGCGGGCGATGTGAGCTGGAAGTGAACCCCGGCAGTCAGCAGTCGCACTGGAGGAGGTAATCGGGTGGTCAAGGAAGGCAGCAGCAAGAGGTGCCCGAGCGCATGTGAATGCTCCTTCGCCTCCGCCACCTGCTGCTGCCGCCTCGGGGCCACCAGAGGGGACAAACCGTGAGCTCTGGAAGAAGCAATTGGGCAGCAGCGGCGGCAGGATGAGGTGCCCGAGTGCGTGAGACTGTTTCCTTCCGTGTATAAAATGACGCTCAATGTTTCCTCTAATTAATTTAGGAAAAAGTGTCATTTTATACACAGAAAAATACGGCAATTTCTTCCTTTACCTTTCAGAGTGGCATATTAAAATTCGCATGTATGTGTATGGATGAGAAACAGGGCCGGGGGTTGGGGGGAACGGAGAAAGAAGCCTCTATGTTCTGAGAGGGGATGAGTGTAGCCCATTAAAAATGCCTTTTTAGTCAAACATGCTGGGAGGGGGGAGTGTCACAGGTTACTTGGCTATTATAAAAGGAGATAATGACCTGAAAAATGTTGGGAATCACTAGTATAGAGCGCCGTTAACAATTTACCTGTAATTTTTGCATTGTGTTTGGTTTTTTTCCACCAACAGAAAGTCTTTTTGTTTTTCCTTGCCAATGGAATTACCGACCTGACCACTGTATTTATGGAAGCAATTGCCAACAGGCTGAAAATGATGGAATATTCATTCTTCATGGAAACAGAGGTGTTTACCATGATGATAAACAACCTGCTTTTCGAGCGGTGTATGAGGCAATAAAAAATGTAAGCATTTAAATCTCTTATGTCATTTAAGAATTAACATCCTTATTTATGTTGCCTTCTAGGATTAAATATAAAAAATCGAAACTTAGTTCTGTCCTTTTTATATTCTACCCCTCTAAAACTTTTCAATCAACATGTGTATATCAGCATACCTTCCACATCTTATTTCATCAGCAGTTATTAATTGCCATTATTCCAAAAATATTTTAATGACGTTTTAGAAAATATATTTTTCAGAAGACATTAATACCCTTAAACAATAACTAGTATAGGGTATTAGATAAATTTCAAAATAAGTTAAAATTAGGAAATTAGAAGAGTTGTAGTATGTAGATTTAGAGTAGGCTATGATGGAGAACATTTCAAACATGTAAAGGCTGAAATCTTGATGCTTGTGGTAGTAAGTTGCATTAGAGTAGGCTCATTGAATTGATGGGGTTTGGTGAATCAACTACTCGGTAAACTTGATTGATTAAAAATGGCCCACTCTAGTTGCAGCTTAATCTGCGTAAAGTATTTAGGCCCATTTGGATCACTGGAACTCATGAAGGAGTTCATCACACTCCTCCTCTCTGATACTGATGTCAAACCTCTTTTGTCTTGTCACTTGAATGTTGAGATAATGGTCTTTTTAAAATCACCACAGGAATAAATATATTTTCTCTGATAACCTTCACTTATTTTCTCTTTCCCTCTTTCACAGCCACCAACCTTTAGCTGGTCCATACAACCATATGTATGCTTAACCGTTCACTCAGGCCTGTATGATATCCTCCACATTATCAGCCCTTTGATGTTGAACTTGGTATCAATCAGCTCAAAAAGAACAAATAATGTTTTATTAAAATAGCAGTGCTAAAAAGAGAGTTGTTTATTCCTAAACTTTAAATTCATCCAGCACAATCTTTTATTATGTCCGTCCCTCTCCCTCAATCTCAGACTTCTCTCTTAGACCTATAACTTCTAAAATCACCCTTTCCCTCATCTCTCTACACCAGGCTGCCCTCCATCAGACTCAAGATTGATATAACGGACATATACTCCTCCTCTTTATCCAGTTCCTCTTCTAGCTGAAAAGAACCACTCTTGCCAACATTCCATGCTCCTTACTCACCTCCTCTCTTCACATATTTACCAAACCATATTAAAAACACATTTAATTATGACCAAGTGTCACAGAGATGACTCACCAAATCCGCACTGATTTGGTTGGCAGCCTCTAGTGCTATTTATTACGCTAAGCAACAGGATCTTAGCCTAGTAGGCATCCTTCAGTCTCGAGAGACTATGGTAACGTGCTCTGTATACAGGTCTTGGAACAGCATCTAGTGTGGCTAAGAAGGCCAATTCGAGAGTGACAATCTCTTCCACACTGAAGACTAATACAATCTGTCCCCTGTCCAGCTCCCTGATTTTGCTCCGTTTGGGACTGCCTCTTTGCCTCGGTCTGCTGGACAAGTGTCTCTACAAATTGGAAGAGGCCATGATGCACCACCTGCCTCCAGGCTGAATGCTTAGACGTCAAGGTTTTCCATATGTTGAGGTCCATTCCTAAGGCCTTCAGATCCCGCTTGCAGATATCCTTGTATCACAGCTGTGGTCTCCCTCTGGGGCGATTTCCCTGCACTAATTCTCCATAACGAGATATTTTGGAATCCGACTATCAGCCATTCTCACGACATGTCCAAGCCAATGTAGACTGCGCTGTTTCAGTAATGTATACATGCTAAAAATTCCAGCTCATTCTAGGACTACTCTATTTGGAACTTTGTCCTGCCAGGTGATATCAAAAATGTATTGGAGACAATGCATATTTCCTCTCCTGCCATGCACAAAGGGTCCAGGACTCACTGCAGTACAGGAGTATGCTCAGGACACAGGCTCTATAGACCTGGATTTTGGTGTATGCCGTCAGCTTCTTATTAAACCATACTCTCTTTGTGCATCTAGAGAACATGGTAGCTGCTTTGCCAATGCGTTTATACAGCTCGACATCTAGGGAGAGTGTCAGAGTCTTAATTGTTCTTAATTGTGCTTTAGGAAATATAGGTCTGGGTAATTTATGGCCCTCTAGAAATTGTTGGGACTAATGACTTTACTAATAAAATCTATAGGTCAGTGACATCTGTAGAGCTACAGATTGCCCAATTGTGCATTAGGAAGTATAGGTCTGGGTAATTTATGGCCCTCTATAAATTGTTGGGACTGATGACTTTACTAATAAAATCTATAGGCCAGTGACATCTGTAGAGCTACAGATTGCCCACCTTTACTCTAGAACAGCAATGGCGAACCTTTCTGCGGGCCCGTGAGCCATAAGTTGCCAGATCGCTATCCCCCCCCCCGCAGCCAAACCTCAGGAGGTGTCTGCAGCCACAGTGATGGCACTTCGACAGGCGGTGGACCAGGATCCAGAGCAGCTGGTACTGCTGGCGGATCCGGAGTGACATCTTGAGGCACCTCCATGCCCGTGATTCCCCTTCTGCCACTTCTGGTTCCACCGCAGCCCACTGCCCACCGGGGGTTTTTCTTTTCAGTTTGGGCACTCGGGCCCAAAAAGGTTCCATAGTAAACATGCGTGAACTGATAGAAGTACTGCTGCCAGATGTCCTATGAAAATTCATCTGCTCTCCTTTTATTGTTGAAATTAGTAAGTGATGCTTGAACATTGAAAATCCATTTTTTATTTTTCTCCAACTTTTATTCTTAGCACATAACTGTATAACTGAGTTGTTTTAATTCATACGGTTTATAATGAATAAATGCATGTGCAACTTTTTCATGCTTGGCATAATTGTTAAGCTTTCTTGTTCAGCAAATAAGGTTTCTAATAAACTATTTATCAGTACTTCAGCCTACTCACTGAAGAGCTGTAAAATGCAGCAATGTTGCTTATTTTAATGTTCATCCTATCTTGTATATAACCTTCAAAGATCAATAGCATATTTTAATGGTGCTTTGTTGCATGTTGTCATGAACATATAAAAATGAAGAAAAGTACTATTGGGGATCTTAGAATACACTACACTGAAAGAAAATGTGGTCTCATAAAAATACAATTTCTTTGTTCCTTAGAATATTGCCAGAAAAAAAATATTTTAAAAAGAAAATCTCATTGCTTTATTTATGATCAGTTTGACTTTGTGCATAATACTGAGGAAAGACATAAATCCATACTGACCCAATGCTAGCAAGATTAGCAAAATTATTTTATTTTGACATGTTGAGTTTGCATATCACCTTTTTTAATATAGTAAAATAACCTGTAACTCTGGATTAATGACTGTTTTTACTGCAGGTTTCCATTAAATACTGTGTGTGCTTGTTCATAATTCAGTTTAATGAAAGTGCCCCATCTTTAATAGTACTGTAGATTATTCTTTTTGTATTGTTTCAACTCAATAAGAGCTATATATGATTATAAAGAATGGCATACTGAGATAATTATACATATTTCAGATCAAAACTTCAACATGGCAGGCATGTGATCATGCAAATTAACCCATTAATTTAGGTGCCTGACACTCATTTTTAGATTTGTTTGCCTGAATGTTTATGTTGACTTTTTAAAAGTTTTTTTTCCTCAAAGCAAAACCATTTTGCATTCATTTAAGTTGACAGTAATTGGATGTTTTGAGTAATCAAAATATATTGCAAACTTGCCAGCAGAGAACCTTATGTATTGCAGCATATTAAGAATGTCACATTTTTCCTAGTTCTTTCTTATGTATTACTCTCATTTAAAGAGCAAGAATTTAATAAAATACTGTTCTGCACAAGAAAGGAAAGTAGTTTTAGAAGAAACAAAATGTTGAATTTACACTATTATAAAATATTTCTAATTGTTTTTCTTCCAGTATTCGTTTGGTGATGACCTAATGCATGCATTGCTGCTACCCCTTGAACTGGAACTACAAAAGACACAGCATACTTACTGTGGAAGAATATATAAAGTGTTCATAAAGCAGCTAACAAAAACCATACAGAATATTTATGATAGAAGATCTAAAGGAAGGTGATCACTTTGGGCCCTCCAAATTTTCAAACTGAACAAGACAGATGTTGGGAGAATATGGGAAGCCTTAAGGAAAGAAGCAACATATTGCTGAAGTTGGATTTTACATGCATGCTGAGATGTATCTCCCAGTGCAAAGATGTTGTCCATCTCAAAGAATTCTTTTTCAGGAAAAGAAGCATACTGTTGATAATGTTTTTGAAGTCCATTTCTTACACATTTTCATTGCAATGATTTTTTTATTCAGGTTTATGTTCATAATTCCATTGCTTTTAAACCTCAGATGAGTAGGATAAAAATGAAGGTCTTTTATACTTTATAAATAATTGTTCTTTGTCATACCTAATCTTAAATTCTGCTAAACTGTGAATGTAGCAGTAATGGAGTAGGCACTAACCTCACTTTAAAAGTGCGAGAACAAGTTGTTTACAAAGCTCAAAGGTGGTTGCTTTCAAAAGAATGTGACAATCTATATGTGCCTTTTAAAAATATCTTGTTTTTTAAAATATTTCGACAATCATGTTTTACACACACAAGCTATAAGCGCTACAGGATACATTGGGCTTCCACTCTGAACAAAGATACCTAATGGAAATAAACCTCAGCCATCTGTAGTTAAACAACTAAGCTCTAAAGAGGTATGTAGGCACAAATAAAGAGCTTAATATGAGCCTGCTAGTGGGCCTTCTTTCAATTCCCTTCACCTTTAAACAACACATTATCATACTACATGTTGCTTTTAGATGTCTATATGTGCAGGACATATACGTTCTAGGCAGCATGAACTGTAGTTCCAGAAGTACCAGCCCAAAGACTTAGCTTTGCAAACCTCGTTGTATAGTCCTTGGGTCCTGGCCAGTGTGCTATAATGGCTGAGCCATAATGGAAAAATGTTATGTCTGGACTACTTTTTTAAAAATAAGACTGAATGTGAAATCGATGCTTAATATCAAGTTTATTACATTTAAATAGTATTTTTATATAGCTTCACTGGCCATTATTGAAGGAAAACCCATATTTTAATGAAGTGTTTATACAGGAATGCTAGTAGTTAAAATCTAATGCATACTTATTAATTTACCCAAATTCATTTAACCCTAGGATAATGTAATAGGATTTGATTATGTTCAACGTCTTTATTTCCTTGTTTGCTTACCAAATTGTTACTGCATATTTTGCTCAGAGCTTTAAAATATTTTGTTACAAACATTTGGCCTCAGTGGAAACATGGTGGCTATTTCCTTATGTGGTGCATTAATTATGGTCCTGGATTAGGGGGAAAATTTCTAAGTAATTATTGAAAAAATATTTTATCTCATAAAATGGCAGCTTTTAATGTACTTTATGTATTAAGTAGAAAAGAGGTTAGTAATACCTGAGCATGGAGGTCTTTAGAACTCAATTCATCTTCCTTAGGAAAGGTATCTTTTTGGTGTAACAGATACTCACAGCAGGTATTTACAGTTGCTGAAAGTTCAGGATTCCAAAAATATGATATATCTTTTGTTGCACAACATAGAAAATGTTTAGAAAAAAAACCATATCAGTATGTAACAAGATGTCCAATCTCTGTTGGAACAAAATGTTACAGCTTAGCTCACTTAACAGTAGGGATTCTGTTCAGGGTTCTCTCCAGTCATTTTCCCCCCAAACCTCCTTGTACTACTATGTACCCAGTTTTTGTTCTCCAGTTGATACACCTTTTCATTCCAACTTTGAGATTTTCCAAGTACATTGATATTGTCTCTTATTTTTCAGTGATCCTTTTTTGATGTCAGATCTGTTGGCATTCACCATCTGAGTTCATTATTAGAGGCCCAATGATTAACTGATAACCATTAATTGTCCCTCTCATGTTTCAGTCTAATTTCATTTGATGAAAGCCAGTGTGACTCAAATTCAATAATTATGCAGCCTTCCCAAATGCTTAAAAGACAAGACTCAAATGTCCCTTTACTATTGTGAATAATAACTTTGTAATTGGCAAGGTGTCTTCAAGAAGTCCTGTCTATGAATCTCTTAGCTGGCTGGATAGCTGTGTAGTTTAGGTATCTGGCTGTGGAACCAGAGGTTGAGAGTTCGATTCTCCACTGTACCTCCTAGGCAGAGTCTATCTATGTGGCCTTTGGCAAGCTGCACAGTCCCAGGGCGCACCCAGAAGAAGGTAATGGTAAACCATTTCTGTTTATTTTCTATGTAGAAAACCTTGGAAAGGATCACCGTAAGTCAGGATCAATTTGACAGCACACACATACATCTCTAACAATATTTTTGTTGTTGGTTCTAGTGAATGATGCTGTTAGAGCAAGATTGTAGAGCAAAGTGCAGTCCTTCAGATGTAGGGCTTGCAATTCCCAACATTTCTCACCATTGACTATGCTTGTTAGGGCTCATGGGTGCTGCAGCAGCATCACTGGGCAGCTGTACTTTCCCATCCCTACCTTAAAATACCAGTACTTACATTTTGAAAGGCTAAAGATTGTTCTGTGAAAGGCACTACTAGGTTTGTGACTCCTGAAAACATAGATCTCAAACACTGTATGGAATGTATTGATCCTTAATGTGTGTGTTGACATTTTGGAACAAAGTTCATTTTAATATTAAACAGTTCATATGCATAAAAGTGAATTTTTTTAATGAAGGCAGATTGTATTTTTATCTAAATATAGTGTTAATTAATATTAGAAAATAAAACTGAATTGGAGGGCTGTTGATGTCCATGCAAAGCATTAGTACAATTACTTTTACAGAAATGGTTTTCTATTGTGTCTGTTGTTCTTTTCTTTTAAGGCCCAACAATTTATTATTATTGTTGTTGTAGGTTCTTCAGGCTGTTCGGTCATGTTCTTAAATTTATTATTGTGTCTGACAACTTACTCTTTCAAGCTATTTCAAACTGAAGGGGGTGTCTCAAATTCCTTTGGTCTAAACATACAATCAGCCACATACCTTGTAGCTCATCCTGGTGGTTTCAAGGCATTTTGGGTGTTTAACTCCCATAGTCCCTCACTGTTGGCCATATTAGGTGGGATAGATGGAAATAGCAGTCCAAAGCATTGGATGGCATCAATTGAAGAAAGTTGTTTTCGCATACACCCACGTAGTCATGGTAGTTAGGTATACCTGTATATTAGACTCAGCTAGAGCCATTGCTCACTGTTTGAGCTTTATTTGGGCATTATAAAAACTGGAGGCACTCATCATACGAGCGTGAGTGGGCCTGTTTCAAGTATTCACATGCTGCTCTTGTGTTACTATCTACCTTGTTGCAGGAGGCATTGACGCCTACAGAGTGAATGCCTGCAGTGGGGAGGCCTTTTCATGTACTGATTTGTACGTTGTGTCGGGTTTAACTGAGGTGAAATTTCATTCAGTAGTCTACTGTATCTGTCATTTCTCTCATAAGGATCATCTAACATTTCCACGTTGGCAAAGGATTGCCAGAAAGTATTTCTAACAGTGATATTTAATGAAAATACAATCCTTTCCTGTCCCACCCCACTTCATAGTTTTCACTTATTTATAGTATTTTTAGTTATTTTCATATTAAAGTTATAAAACCTGCTGAGGTGTGCAATTTATGAGTGTGGCCTATTGCATTTTCATTACCCTCATTTAGTTCTGTGGAGGTCAATGTGTGTCTCTTCCTCCTTCAGTTCATTAATATCATATATTCATTCATGTAATTACAGATTTGGCTACCAAGTCATTTTTTTCTTCTATGCTCATCTCTTATGAATCTTAATATTCAGCCAACCATTTGTGTACACATCTTAAAGAACCAATTCATGTTAAATCAATGTCTAATACATGTGTACATTTTTAAAACTAAATTCAGGAAAGTGTATGTAAAAGTTTCACTTAATTACAAAAGCTGTCTCGTTGAAATCTCATTTCTTTAGAGCACTTTTTTTAAACTTTCAGAAAAATGGAAGATGTTAATCTTTTTTTACTCCTAATTTGGGATTGAAAGGAATTAAAAATTAATTACGCTGGATGTTTAATTTTTATATTGCTGTTTTTTCCGGAACGGATTAACGTCGCTAGGCGAGGCACCACTGTATATGGAAAGGGAAGTAGAGTTTGATGTTTCTTTTTGGTAAAACACTTCAGTAGGGTTTTAGGTACACAAGTATGTAGACATATTAAATAGGAATTTCTAAGTATGTGGCCACCTGTAATGATAATTTTGGGGGAAAATATGTTTATTTGGATGGTCCTAGAAGAATAATAACTCTTACTATCTGCTGCTAGAGCAGCCATGATTTATGTTTGCAAAGAGAGAGTGCTTTCAAACAGAAAACATTCTAAGTGTCAGATGTTACACTAGCATAATTTACATTGATGTGATTCTCCAATTGTGAGACTTCGACCTAAAAGAATAGGTTCTTGTAGCATATTAATGCAGTATCAGTAGCTTAAAAAAAATAAGAAAGGGGTTTGCCAGTTCCTTGAATTTCTTCTTCTTGTACTGTGAGTACTCTTATCTGTCTACACTTTTGACATTTAATTTTAGAATTTCTAAATTCTGCACACACAAAAGGGATCAGTTCTGTGTTTTGTGATTGGTATACTTACAGCTGTTTTTTGTTCCTTTAAGTGTGCTTTTAAAGTTTTCAAACACTTTTTAATTGTTATTGTATAATTAATTGCTTTTAAATTATCATTGTATATTTAATTGATTTGTAACGTAATTTATTGTGTTTTTATTCTGACTTGTAATCATTGTGATTACAAAGCTGCCTTCGGTCCCCCCACCAGGATAAAGGTAGCCTAGAAATAAAACAAATAAGAGTTCTGCATTAGTGTAGCATATGTATAGCAGGACTTAATAATGTCTGGCCATGTGGCAGGGGTGCCCAAATTCTCCTAGTGACTGGGGTGGAAAGCAAAGTGTATGTCCCCCACTCGCCCACAAATTGTGGCATCACCAGTACCTCCCACATTGAAAAAACTCTGGAAGCCCGTCTCATTGTTGTAGCAACACTGAAAGTAAACAATATTTCTCCTGCACAGCTATAGCAGCCTCTTTCCCATCACCACAGTCTGGGTTAGTCAACTGCCAAACAACACCAGCTCCAAAAAGTGGTTGCTACAGCACTATATGGAGCCAGAGGTTCTGAACTGCTACTCTGCTGGCATGTAGTAAGGCTTATTAGTGATGGTGGCGGACATGTACGTACATAACTGGGCAGTATATTCTTTGCAATTTCTGTATTCACATCAAATGATGATTTAGATCTATTGAGTTCAGCTGAATTGAATGTTGCACAATTCCCTTTTCTGTTTAATTTTGTGTCTTGTTTATAGATAGATAGATAGATAGATAGATAGATAGATAGATAGATAGATAGATAGATAGATAGATAGATAGATAGATAGATAGATAGATAGATAGAGTTGTGCCCCGCTTAACGATTACCCCGCATTACGACAAATCCGTTTCACGATGTTTTTGCGATCGCAATTGTGATCGCAAAACGATGTTTTAAATGGGGGAATTTCACTGCACGATGATTGATTCCCTGTTTCGGGAACCAATTCTTCGCATTACGATGGTCGCAACAGCTGATCGTCAGGTTTTCAAAATGGCCACCGGGTGCTCAAAATGGCTCCCCGCTGTGTTTAGGGATGGATTCCTCGCTATACAGCCACCGAAAATGGCCCCTGTATGGAGGATCTTCGCTGGACGGTGAGTTTTTAGCCCATTGGAATGCATTAACCAGGTTTTAATGCGTTTCAATGGGTTTTTTATTGTCGCTTTACGTTTTCATTCTACAGCGATTTCGCTGGAACGAATTAATGTCGTTAAGCGAGGCACCACTGTAGATAGAATAATTTTATGCTGACCTGGACTGCTACATAGAAATCAAAGTTTTTTTTAACCCTCTTTCTCTGCTTTTTTTTCCAGTGCAGAAAGAAAGAAAAAATAGCAGCAAGATAATATGTTTTCTAAGGGATTCATAGAGACAATGTCATATTACACACACACACACACATTTGAAGACACCCTGTTCCTTGGGGGCAAAACCTTGGTGTATCAAATCAATAAAAAGTGACCCAGATCATACGTTTTTGTTGAACATTTTAAAGAGGTTATCAGATAACCTCTGCTGGCTAACACATCAAAAGCTTTGCTAAAGTGATACTGAGAACTTGCTATAATTACCCAGAGTGAGCTAGGGAGAGCATTAGTAATGAGGCAGGAAATAGGGCAGCATTGGCAGGATTTTTTTAAAAAAATTCAGCATGTCAGTCTTCTTCACTTCACTACCTCACCCTAACCCACCCCCAGTCCTGCTTTGAAATGAGCAGTCTATTCAACATGCGAGGAACAACCACGTTTTATATTTATTTATTTATTTATTACATTTATATACCACCCTCTATAAGTAGTGAGCTGCTACTCTGGGTAACAGCAAATAAATATACATCCACATCCAGTGTAGTCAACCTACCAACCGAAAACACCCAAATGATAAAAAGAGATGAGGGGGAAAGAATCCCCAAAGCCAGTGGCTAACTAAATTGAAATACGACCACTTGGGATAGTGAAAACAAATCATGGGCGAGGATGTTTCTGAAGGCCTCCTTAAAAAGCTCCAATTTCACACGTTTCCTGAAGATCAAGAGGGAGGGAGCCTGCTGCATATCCACAGGCAATGCAATCCACAATGTCATGACCACCTCCAAAAAGGGCAGATTCCTAGTGAAAGATTTCCAGGCGTCTCTTGGGGTGGCCACTCATAACTACAAAGAGGACACATTTCACCATTCCTTAAGTAAAGCATATGATGCTGAGACATAACTGTTTGTGTACAAGCCATTCTGTTACCATTACAGTTCTGCCTGATTTTTTCTTTCCCTAGCTTCCCCTAATTTAAATATAACACACACAAAAAGAATACACAACTACCACACAACCAAGAGGTGGGTCATAGACTGGCACCAGATTGAGGAGGAGATGCCCCCTCTGCCTTTCTCCTCAGGTACCATCGCATAGCTCTTACATATCTTCTGCCTGCACAACATAACATCTATCCTCTCAAAAAAAGGAGAGAAATCTGTCCATAGCTATATAATTATGTTATTAAC